TTCTTTCTTTCTTTCTTTCTTTCTTTCTTTCTTTCTTTCTTTCTTTCCTTTTCTTTCTTTCTTTTTTTTTTGTGGTAGGGTATATACTATAGCCCTGACTGATCTAGAATTCACTATGTAGCCCAGACTGGCTTCTAGCTTGTAGCTCTTCTCCTGCCTCAGTCTCCCCAACAGTCAGGTTCCAGGTAAATTTTGTGGTTTTTTTTTATGTTTGTTTGCCGGGTAGTCCAGGCTAGCCTTAAGCTCATTATGTAGACGAGGACGAACTTGAACTCCCGATCCTCCAGCCTCCACCTCTGGAGTGCTAGGATTACAGATGTGGCCCACATCTGGTTTTATATGGTGCTGAGCTACAGGTCCAGTCCCTAGGTAAATCTTATTTTTTTAAGATGTTTTTCCCTAGATGAGCTTTTAAAAGCGGAATTTGGGCAGAGTCACAATGTAGCCAGAGTCCTTCCTAAAGCTCCTCTTTATGCTTAGAACCCAATAGGAGAAGGCATCAGAGCTCCCCAGTTTCCACCTCCTCCATCCTGTGCCCTCCAGGGGTTCAGTCCAGTCCATGATCCCCTGGGCTCTCTTGGCTCCCTGCCTTGGCTCCCTCGGGACACCCAGAGAATGTCTCCCTTCCTGACTGTTCCTTCTCTGTGTCTGCAGCAGCCCGTCCCCTCCTGTCCTCTCCCTCTCTTCATCACACTTAACATCGTACCCATGGAAAACTCTTCGGGATGGGGCATTGTTGTGTGGGGCCAAGGGGCTGGTGTACACAGCTCACTCCTCATTCTAGGACAGAGTGTCAGTTTCTAGAACGTCACACTGCTGCTGACAGTGGGCAGAGGACCCTGGCTGGGGGGTGGAGCCTGCTCTGTCCTCTCCTGGGATGGTACCACGGGCTCAACTCCACAGGGAGGAAAAAACACACTGTGAGATTAGATTATATGGCACTTGAGCTGTGCCTTTCTCGGTGATGCTGGCTCTGGTGATTCAGCAGGGCCAGTCTGACTTTCCCTCAGCCAGCCTGACACCAGGCCTCCAAGACCCAAATCCTTCTTGAGTCGTCAGCCTGCCTGCCTGCCTAGCCAATCCTCCCATGGCTCCAAGACATCAACGATGGACTCATGGACACTTCATTTCTTGAATGTGCCAGCCACCCTCCCTCAGAAGCAGCCAGGGGACCCTTTCAAGGGCGGGGCTTGTCTGTAGCCAGAGGCTAGGCCTCAGAGCCTCCAGGTTAAGTGGAGATTGTCTCTGGCACCCTCACCGTCTTGTACCATCCCTAGCAGCTATGCTCAGCACAGGGGCTTTTCTGAACTGGGCATAGGACTGACACCTGTCCCTGCTACCTGTCACCTGGGACATCTTGGGAAAATCTGTTCCTGCCCATGAGCCTCATTTTCCTATCTAGAAAAGGAGGTGACAGCCAGCCACCGTGATATGAAAGGCTTCTCTGCTCTTCTTAGGAAAGGGAAGTGTGACATCATCAAAGCATGTGCCCTGTCCCTGTCTTGTTTCTTGAACTCGTGCAGCTTGTCCTCTAGAGAGACACTGGAGGAAAACTGGGGGCATTGACAGTAAGCCCCACCTATCCAAGCCTGCCTCCCACCCTCACCAGGACTCTGTGGAGCATCCGGGGAGACTTCTCTGCCCCCGGCAGGTCAGCCCCACCACCAACGCTCCTGCGGGTGGGAGGCAGGCTTGGATAGGTGGGGCCACTTGGGTAAGCTGAAGTAGAGATGCCAGTACAGGCAAGACAGGGCACAGTGAGTCTACAGGGCACAGCTTCTCCCCTAGGTTGGTCCCCCATTCGCTGTGTGACCTCAGTGAGTCATGATACCTCTCTGATCCTGGTTTTCACTCCCTTCCCTCCGTGGAACCTGTTTTTTCCCCCAGGAGGGTGACTTGTGGGGTTGTACTTTCTAAACCCCCCTCTACTCAGTGTAGAGTGCCAGGCTGGACCCTCCCTGGGCTTCAGAGTGTTCCCTGTCCCAGCACTTGCTCACTGGACTCCTGGTCCAGTCTCTGGTCTACACCAGTGCAAGGCCCAGGCAGACATTTTCACTGGCTCAAAACTGATGTCTGTCTGTCTGTTCTCCTGAGGAGGCCCTAGCCACTTGTCACAGGAGTGAGGTGGTAGATCAGCAGCAGAAGGCTTGGGACATGGTCCCTTCATCTTCCAGGCAGGTCTGGCAGGGCAACAGCTCGCTAACACCGGTCTGGATTGGCTGTGCTTTTTTTCCCTGTCTCCCTTTTTTCTTGTCTCCCTTTGGCAGCTTCCCACGTACATCCCTCACTGCTTCCTTCCCTCAGGGTTTCCTTCATGGGGACCCTGCTTAAGTCAGGGACAAGCAGTCACTCAAAAGACACTGTGTGATACTCTATGTGTCCAACATAGGAGGAAGGAAAAGTTTATTCTGGCGTACCTCAGAGGGAGAAACAGCACAACCTTTCCTAAGGACAAGCGGAGGCAGAAAAATGACCAAGACACGTTTTCCTCTTTGTTTACTTGTATTTAAGATGTTTTTTTTTTTAATAGTATATACATTAGTCGTGAAGCCAGTTGCACAGTGCTGTCTGACTTTGGGCTAGTCCCAGCCCCTCTCTGAGTCTCAGCCTCTGGCCTGGGCTAGAAGTCCCGGGCTCTGAGTTCGAGGCTGACCCTGTCCTTCCTGCTCTCCACAGGTTTGACAACTATTCAGCCAATGTGATGGTGGACAGTAAGCCTGTGAATCTGGGACTGTGGGACACCGCAGGCCAGGAGGACTATGATCGCCTCCGGCCGCTCTCCTACCCTCAGACGGTGTGTACCTCCTTGCCTCTTTGTGTCCCCTGTCTTGACCCTGTTCCGTCTACTGCCGATGACCTTTTCGGGCCAGCGGTACCTGCTCAACCCCGAGTCTCCCTTTGAGGCCTGTGGGGCAGAGCTAGCGTCTCCCCAGACTGTGCTCCCTCAGCCCTGCTGCCCTCAGTGCCCTGAGATGCTAGCCTTTCTCAGTGCATGGCCGTGTGAACAGCCGGGTCAGTGTGCCCGGTCCTGGGGTGGGCGGGAGACCTGCTGCTGGTAGCTCTGTGGCTTCTGGGTCCCCAGACCTGGGCTCTCTACCCACTTGGCAAAGAGAGTGTCCTATATCTCCTGGTATATGGCTACACAGTGGGTGGTGGGAGCTGCCCTCTTCCCCCCACCCCTACCCCAGACAAGACTCTGTGGCTTCTCTGTGCCAACCCTGCCCTCCTGTCTTCAGGATGTGTTCCTCATCTGCTTCTCACTGGTCAGCCCGGCCTCCTATGAGAATGTCCGAGCCAAGGTAGGCCTCCAGTGGGCTGGGAGACAAATGCAGGTGGCACTGAGGGAAGGAGGGATTGGCAGTTAAGGTCCACCCTGGGTTAGGAGCATCCAGAGCAGATAGTGTCACGCAGGGCCCACGAGGGGAGGGTCTCCCTGGGGGCTGGGACAGCAAGCTGTCCCTCTCCCTGCCCAACCTCGTGCCTTCTCTTATCACCACATACCCACTCTTATCTCCATATATATCTATCTATCTTGGCTTTTAAAACATTTTTGCTTGCCTGCTCAGATCATGCTGTGCCTTGTGACTCTGCTCTGAGGCCTCTCTCTAACTTAGTGTCTTGGGCCTCTTGTCCCCCTCCCCTCTGCTCCCTCTCCCTCTCCTCTCTCCCTGCCAGTGGTTCCCTGAGGTACGGCACCACTGCCCCAGCACTCCCATCATCCTGGTGGGTACCAAGCTGGACCTGCGAGACGACAAGGACACCATCGAGAAGCTGAAGGAGAAGAAGCTGGCTCCCATCACTTACCCTCAGGGCCTGGCACTGGCCAAGGATATTGGTATGGGGCTTGAGCTCAAAGAAGGGAGCTGGGGGTTGGGGGCGCCTGGACACAGCCTCGTCCTAGCTCTGTGTGGTTGAACTCTGGCTGTGCTCCAAACCATTGTACCAGCTGTGTGACCTGGGCTGGTCCTGCGACCTCTCTGTGCTGGTGTACCTCTGTCAGGAAGGCATAGCAGTAGTGATGGCTTCTGCCACATTGGGTGTCTGGGTAAAATGACTTGTCCCCAGAGCATCACTGCATGGTGGATTCTGTGTTAGCTGGTCAGGGCATCGGCCAGGTGTAGACTTTGAAGCGGGGGGGGATTGGTGGATGGGAACGTGGTTGCCTGGAGCACAGGCAGTCAAGTCAAACAGCTGTTTCTGGAGGGCTTCCTGGAGAAGGTATCTCCACTAGAGACTTGAAGGGTGACTCAGTCCTTTGTGTCTGGCCCTCACCTCCCTTTCTCCATCCATCCTGCCAGATACTCTTTGCCTCCGAGAACCAGGAAGAGGAGGCTTGACCCTACAAGGTCATCTAGCTGGGGAGGGGTGGCCAGGACTAAAAGGATGGAGGCAGGTGGCTGGGTGGGTGAGGATGCCTCACTCTAGCCAAGCTCTCCATCGGAAGGAGACTGGGCTCTGGGTCTAGCCTCTCCTGTGGTGTTCTCCTGAGGCAGAACTACCAGGTTAGGCCTGGCCCCCACCCAGCCCCGCACCTCTTCCCCTGCAGGAAACGGGAGGGAGGGGCTCTTCACAGGAAGAGAAACCGCAGCCTTCCTGTGACTAGCTGGGTGTCATGGCCTCCTCCCAAGGGGCCTCTCTGCTGCTTCACCCTGGGTCTCTGTTCTAGCCTCTGGCTGGGACAGGGGTACCCCAGCCTTCTCTTAACCAGCCCGTCCTCAGATTGGTCTGCACTGATTTGGGAATGTTGGGGGAACAAACCTGGGACTTTGCACTGGCCAGGCAACTACTCTTCTCACGGAGCTACCTGCACCTCACCCTGACCCTTCAGAGTTGCTCCTCCATCTCTGAGGGTACAGTCTGTCACACGGGAGCAGAGAAGGAGAATGCTGGCGCTCAGCTCACTCTCTCCTTTATGTACCTTTTAAACATAGGATATTTTTATTTATATATAATTTCATCCATGGCAAACGATGTCTCTGGAGCATACCCACCCTGGACCCACCCCCCTCCCCCCCGTTCGTCCCCAGAAACCAGACATGTGCTCATCTTCCCTTCATGTCCTTTGTATGTGTGTGCTTGGGCTCCTGTGTGTGTGTGTGTGTGTGTGTGTGTGTGTGTGTGTGTGTGTGTCTTTCAGCCTATGACTTCTCTTCTTCCTGAGGCTGTTTTGTCCTCTGTGGGGAGCTGAGAGGCTGAGAACTCCTCCCTGCCAGCTGTGGTGAGAATGAGCAGATGAATGCTCCAGCCAAGTGCCCGGGAACCCTGATTCAGAGTGCCTTGCTGGTCACCACAGAGATGGGGAGCCTCAAGGAGTAGAGTCCGTGAGCCCCCACCCAGAGCCATCTCTGGAATACACCGGTTGGAGGCCAGGGCATTTTGATCCTGGCTTCATCTTCTCAGTGGGAACAGAGAGAGCCTAGAGGAACTTTCCAGGAACAAGAAGCACCCTGGTGGTGTCTGGCTCCCTGAGGCTGCATTTCCTCTTTGCTGCCAGGCCTCAGCTCCCAAGCCCCTGTTTCAGTGGCTTCCCCTTTAGGGGTGACCTTGTCTTCCTGGTACTGCATCTTTGGTCTGTGACTGCTCTACCCTGGGCCTTTCAGGTCACTGAGGTGGAGAGGCCACTGTTTCCTCATAGCTGTCAGAAGCTCCTGCCCCCATCCTGCCCAAGAGAGAAGAGCAGAAGGTGCCAGAGAGGGCACCAGGCTCAGTTTCTTCCCCTTTCTTTCCTCAGGACTCTGAATCTCCTGGCCTCTCAGTGTCAGGGCTCAGTGTTCAGGTTGCAGGGGGTAGGAGGTCAAGCAAGCTCCTTCCAGGGGCAGGGGCTGACCTCTGGAGGGCACATAGGTGCTCTCTATTTCTCCTCACTGAGCTGCCCCGGGGCAAACAGGTCCCACAGTCTCTGCTAACCTCGGTTTCCTCATAAGTTGGGGTGTGACTGAATGATAGATGCATTGGGGGTGTCGTCAGACCTGCTCAAAGGTGTTAGCTCCAGGAAGAAGGTCTGGATGACATGCCAGGAGATTCGGTCATGGAAGCAGGTCCTGTCCTTCCACAGGAAGGGCTATAGTCCTGTCCACCCCACCTGACCCCTATAAACAAAGGGCCTTGTGTCTGGGGGCCTCCGTCTTCCCCTGAGTCCTACAGGAGGAAGATGAAGTACAGAGAGACATACTTCCCATGTGGGTGACACTCCCACTCAGATGACAGAGCTTCTCCATGACTCAGGCTGATGCTCTCCTGCTTTCCCCCCTCAGACTCAGTGAAGTACTTGGAATGTTCTGCACTCACCCAGCGAGGCCTGAAGACAGTCTTCGATGAAGCCATCCGGGCGGTTCTGTGCCCACAGCCCACACGACAGCAGAAGCGTGCCTGCAGCCTGCTCTAGGGGTACACACTTCTTCTCTGCTGTTGAAAGGGCACCCTGTATCTGGGCCTGGCCCTCAGGCCACTGAGAGTAGTGTAAGACCAGGACAGAGGGTCATGGGTAGGTAGGTAGCCTCAGTTTCCCCTCTTCCTCCTCACTGCCTGTGGAGTGTCTTCCCTGAGGGATACAATTCAAGGAAGCCAGAATCTGCCCAGTGACCCAAGCCGGGACACAATGGCTGCCAGGCTCTCACTCAGCCCACCCTTGCCATGAAAGCCTAAGGGAACCAGGAAACCCCAACCACCCCCTGGGCAGGATATGTGGGGGAAGGGTAGAGAGCAGTCCTGGGGAAGGGAGAGGTTGGAAGCATCCCTGGGCTGGGACCTCTCTGTGCCTGACACTGATCCTCTCCTGTTTCCCTTCCAGGCCTCAGCCCAGTCCTCTGAGCCCAATGGTCTTGACCCTCTGGGGCCTCCAACCAAAGCCCAGCAATCTGCATGGTGGGGCTGCTGTCCCCTCCCTGCGGTGTTTCTTCCCAGACAGCTGCAGAATTTGCCTATCTCCTCAGTGGAGGTCCCTGGGGATGGGAAGATGCTTAAAGGCCACATCCTACCATGAATGCTCCTGTGTTCCCAGGGACCAGAGGGGAGCCCCAAGACTCAGCCAGCCATCCTCATGTCATACAGTGCCATACACCCACCTGCTCCAGGCCTTCCTGACTCCCCTCTTGAAGCTTCTGGTCTCCATGGCCTCCAGGTGTCTGCAGGGTCAGGCTCTCTTGCTCAAATACCCCTGCTTCGCCTTGTTGGAATCACCTCCTTTCCCTGAACCAAAGAGAGAGATGTGGGAGTCTGCTCCTCTCTTCTTTCTCAGAAAAGTGCAGAACAAATCCACTTCTGTAAATCTCTTGTCTGTCCAGCGAAGTGACCATCTCTCAAGACTTTCTACTGTACTCAAAGTGCCCTGAGCTGTATTTTGAGACTGTCCATCCCACTCTGCCAGTAAGGACAGGAACCACTGCAAATGGAAAGCACCTATCTCTTGCTTATGTAGAAAATAAATGTATTGATTTGAGTAGAAACTACCACAGAGTTCAGGCGCAGCTTAATCAAGGCGGGGTCAGGAGGGGGTGGTTTCAGGTGATACCCTGGAGTTTGCCTCCCTGTTCCTTTTGGCTCTGCCTGCTGCTGTCAGGCTCGTTTTCAGGCAGTTGATTCTTGGCATTTGATTCTCTGAGATTCAAGTTCAGGCCAAGAGTCTGCCCCAGGCAAAGTTTTAAAGAAGGGCTACTCTGGTTGGACCGGCTTGTCTTAGGCCCACCTTCAATCAGGCATGTGTGTCAGAGAGACCCTGGGCTGTGGCTGGCCATGAGTTGTGTTAGAGCCAGTAGAGGTGACCCCAAGAAGCTGGGGTGCAGGGTGGGTATGGGGAGGATACATTCTCAAGGGGAAACCATCTTTCTAGAACTGGGTGTCTAGAAACTAGGGATCCATAACCTCGACCGTCAGAGTAAGTGTCCAGTCCCAGCTGGCACTGAGAAAAACACCTGGCCTTTTCCGTTTGTATTTTAGAGAAGACTTTCTCATACAGCCTGAGCTGACCTCAGACCCGCCATCCCCCTGCCTCAGCTTCCTAAATGCTGGGATTACAAGTGCACACCTCCATGCCTGGTTGAAATTTTTACTAGAGAGTTTAGGCTGCTATGGAAGTTGATGAGGCGCCCGTATCAGGCACCCCAGGGCCTGGCCCTGAGACAGTCCCACCTTGGTCTTCACCTGAATTACACAGAGCCACTGGCACAGGCATGACACTGCCTGAAGTTCCCAGTCCTTCTCCCAACAGGCTTCTATTGACCTGTCTGCATCAGGTGTTGCCATATTGTCAGGAGTTGGTGACAAATGAGAGTTGTATTAAGAGTCATGTTGTGTTCCACCCATCCCCCTCACCCTCCCATCCCTACTAGGGTCTGAGGCCGAGAGGAAATGGCTCACCCTGACAGCCTGGAAGGCCAGCTCCAGCCAAGGAGTGCTCAGCCTCTCCATTTTCTGTCTCATAGTTCTAGTGCCATCCCCAACTCCACAAACAACTACGCTTAAGGGACTCCACCTCTGGAGGGGCTTGGCACATGGGGGAAAGAGCATGTCTGTTCTTAGCTTGGCTCACATGACGACGGTAATGTTTCAAGGTATTTCTCTGACACAGAAAGAAAGATATTAAATCCATACGTGCTGGGTGATCCAATATGGTTGCAAGGACCTGAACCCTCTTCCCCTCCCAGTCAGGTCAGTGTGTTAAGGGCTTGGGGTGCCCCCTTTAGTCAGCCAGAGTGCAAGGGTCCCTCTTTTAGTTCCCTGCTTCTTTTCTTTGCTTCTTTTCAAGCGAAGGCTTACATGATTCAAATCAGCAGATCAAAAAAATGAAGCCACTCAAACTCAAACCCCCCTTCCTGTAGGCCACAGAAAAGAAGCCCCGAGCTGTACCCCAGAGCCTTTGTTTGCACTGTTACCCCCACAGCCCCTGTCACACCCTTGACAGCCTATTTCGTTCTGATCTCAGCTCTCCCCTTACGCTGAGCTAAGTCCCTGCGACTTTTGCAATCTGTGTGAACCTTGATTTCAGTTCCTTGAATAAGAGGCCAAGAACCTAGAAAACCCTTACCAGACCCTGGCTCACCGATAACACTCCCCACACACCACCTTCCTTTTCACTCTGTTGCCCATCTGCCCACCATCCAGGGCCCTTCCCCCTCCCCCCAGGGCTCCTTAAACTCCCTTATGTGATGCTGGGGTGGGCTCCTGCTGTGGGTGTTCAGCACCCCCCCCAAGCTGCCCTGGGGTCCTTGCGTTTACAATAAGAGTAATGATGTGAAATGCCACCCCTCCCCACACACAGCACATAAAATCTCAGTCTCCCCTCTCCCCAAATCAGGTCATTTGGGGTGCTGCTGACCATTGCAGAAGAGGAAACAGGCCCTGGGAAGCCTAGGAGTCAGTGCTTGGTGAACAGAGCAACCTCATCCTTCCCACCCCCCCTGCCCCTCCCTCCCTCTTCCACCCCTCCCTCCTTTCACCACTCTGCTCTCTTTGCCTACAGAATCCCAGCTTGGGGCAGGGCAGCGGTGCCCTTAGCATTTGACAAACTACTTGTTTTCAGAGAGAGGAAAGGCTGGAAAGATGGCTCGGCAGTTAAGAGTGCTTGCTGCTCTGTCAGAGGACCGAAGGTTTTGTTCCTAATTCCAGCTCCAGGGGATACGATGCCCTCTTTTGGTTTCCGTGGGCACCTGCACCTATGTGCACTCTTGGGGCTCTGAGGTCATACCATTTTGTCCAACCACACACAAGGAGCGTCAGTCAGAAGAGGCAGCTACTTGGGAGAAAAATAACAGACGTGGTCTCCACTGTCCTCTGAGCTGTCCCTCTCTGCGCTCTGAACACCGATGGGATGTCTGGAGCAGCTACTGCCATCTTGTGAGCATGAAGCACAGCATAAACAGTAGAAGCCAACTGCCCAGATTGGAGGACAGAAATATAAACTGGGCCTGGGGCTGTTAGCCTAGGCCAGACATGTTTTGGCGATGAATGACGGAGGAAACACTTACTTGTTTTTTGCCACAGTTGGCCAGACTTCCTGGTGATGTAGCTGAGGCTGTGGGGGAGGATCAGAGGCCTCCTGGGCAGAAACGGCAAGCTGTGAGCAGCTGAAGAGACCGTTTTGAAGTAGGAAGAAGCGCTGGCTAGGCACAGTAGCCTCTCAGAGCACCCACTTGGTACCAGGCCACACGGTGTCTTGGATGCGATCCCTTGCCAGAGCAGCCACGTTGCTGGATTAAAATTCCTCTGCAGCGGGGAGCTGTTCACGTCATGGTGGGCCAGGACGCAGACACAGGAACAATGCTGCTTGGCTGAATTTCTCCTCCTTTTATTCCATTCAGACCCCAGCCCCATGGGATGGTGCCCCCTTTCCACATTCAGGCTGGGTTTTACCCATCTGTTAATCCTCTGGAAAACTCTCACAGACACATGCTCAGAGGCACGCCTCCAACCTCTAAATGAGTGGTTCTCAACCTGTGGTTAAGTGAGCCTTTCACAGGGGTTGCGTATCAGATATCCTTCACATCAGATATTTACATCATGATTCACAACAGTAGCAAAATTACAGTCATGAAGTAGCAGTGGAATAATTTTACTGGGGGGTGTGTGTGTCACCACAACATGAAGAACTGTATGTATTAAAGGGTCATAGCATTAGGAAGGAGTTGGGAAGCCCTGCCCTAGACGATTCACCTGCAGTCAAGTGACAGCGAATGTAAGCTACCACAAACATGGATCCTGGCCTCACCTGTAAGCTCTGCAGAGGCCTCTAGAATGCCCGCACGTTTGCGCACACACACATACACACACACACACAGACACACACACACACACACACACCTTCAATGGCAGGCCCTCCTTCACAAAGCTCCCTGTCGGGGTAGCTTTCTTCACACCCCAGCTCTTTCCGCCCTGGGGTTCAGTGCGAGCTCTTCCTCCTCCCCTTGGGAAAGGCCAGCCCCCAGCACCTCTGACCTCTGGTCTCCTGCCTCTCCCTGCCTTAGTCATTACTGGCCGCTGTAACTTGGCATTTATGAGTAGGGCCTTGCCCTGCTGCTTCCCCTAGACTGGAAGGGACCTGGTTGTCTTTTTCCATGCTTAACACTAAGCCCCCAGCTAGTGCTGGGTATCTTGACACATTGCATGATATGATTTACACAAATGAGGGAATGGATGAAAGAATATACTTAACTGATAGACAGAGAGAGAGAGAATGAGAAGAGAGGACCAGCCATGCCCAGAACCTACTGAAACAGCCTTCCCACTGCCCACCAAGGTATACCCGTGCGTATGAGCCATCTTGTGGGTGCCATGCCCTCTAAGTGCCCCTCTGACTGTCTCAGCTACTGACATGTGAGAGGGAAGAGCTGCCTGGATGAACCCAGCCACCCCAGAACGGTGAGGAAGAGTAGCACATCTGCCTGTGTCTGCGCCCGGGACTGGAGAGCATCCCCGGCTGCCCCTTTGATCTCCGTCTCTCCACCCACATCTGACTCCACACAGGCTTCGTGGGGTGTCAGAAAAAAAGGCATAAGGGGCCCTGCAGAAGGAGAGGCAGAGCTGGGAGGTGTCCGGACAGGACCCCGAAAGAAGGCAAAAGGCCACTAGGCATAGAATACTGGCTTCTACCCACCGCCTGTGTTCCCATCTGGCTGTGCTAAGACTGGACACACAGAAAGGAATGCTTGCCAGCCCTTTCTCACCAGGGGCTCGGAAGCCAGGGAGAAACAGACCCGTGGGGACCCCTGCCCTTGTGGTTTGATCCGCGCATCAGAGTCTTCTGTGCAGAAAGGCAGAGCCCTGGCCTGAGGGTCAGCACACCATGGGTTGGTACATTTACCCCGACCCTACAGAAAGGCAGCCACGAATCGGCGACAGAAGAAACGGAAACAAAAAACATCTATTTGCAGAGAAATGGGAGACACCCATCAGCCTAAATCGTGGTGGGAGAGCTACATAGCAAGAGGATGGTTGAAGGGCAGGTCTCAGGGCATACTGGGAAGAGGGAAGTATAGCCACTGTTGCAGATGAAAACGATACAAAACAACCCGCTCCTGGAAGTCCAGGGAGGCGGCTGCTGGATCCAGACATGGCAGGCTATCTGAGACTGTGAAGGTGTAGGTCATTGAAAAATGGGTGGCCGAGGAGCCTGCTTCAGGTGCAGTTGGACTGCCAAGTCCTTACTCCGTGCTGTGGAGCCGCCCAGCCTTGACCTTGGCAGGGAAAAAAAAAAATCATGAGCCAGGGAGCCCAGGCCCCAGGAGTACCTGCTTCATTCCGGCAAGCCCGGGTGACGGCCCACACTGGGTTTGGAAGATGTGGGTGTGATTCCACTCAGCAAATCCCCGCAGGGACAACCTAGCCAAGATACACCATTTAAGGGAAGAAAGATTCCTTTTGGCTCGTGGTTTCAAAGGCTTTGACCAGTGGTTGGTCAAATCCTCCCTTTTAGGCCTGTAGCAAGGCGGGAACACCACGGAGGAGGGACAAGGTAGAGGACACCTTGCTCATCTCAGCAGCCAGATAAAGAGGAGGGGGCCAGGACCAAGACTGACCCTCTGAACCACGGTCCCAGTGACCCTTTTCCTCCCCTTGGGCCTCCCTTTGCACAGTTCCGCTTCCCAACAGTCCCTCTGAAATTAGACTCTCAACGGATTCAATCAGTGCTTATGTCAGAGGCTCCACCGTGTAATCGTTTCTTCGTTAATTTCTTAGGTGTCTCTCGATTCAGTCAACTTGACAGTCGACATTAACCTGGGCGGTGCCAGCCTGTGTCGGTCTGACGAGCTCACACATTTCCTCAGACTGCACTTGATCATGTGACTCTACTCAACGCGGCTGCCCTGTGCGCAGCGGCGGCCACACTGAGGCTCTCTCCAAGAGTCTCAGCAATCTCAGTGTTGAGCAACAGTCCAAACGGAAACAGAAAGTCAAGGCAGGTTTACAAAAGCCAAAAACATGTGACCTCACACAGCAAACACCCTCACTCTTTCGGGGTGAACAGGAGAACAGAAAAGAGGTGTGAGGCCAGAGAACCAACAGGGAGATCAAATCCTGTATAGCCCTGTTTTGCATCCAGGGGCACACGGTGACATGATGTGAGCTTCAAGGTGTGTGCCCACTGCTCTGGCCTTGCTGGCCTTAGTGCACATGACCTCTCCCCTGGGCTCGGCTCTGCTCACTGCCCGTGGTTGTCCTCGGCAGCCTTTTCATGTCTCTGTCGTCTCCGGATCTGCGAGATCTCTACTGCACCTTCAGCTCTCTCCTCACCGTTTCCCACACTGCCCTCTTGGGGCCTGAGCCGACTACACCCCAGCTGGCCTCTCCCAGGCTTGCCTTTGAAATCTGGGTGAATGCCTCCGTGATCTTACAACTCTTCCATGCTTGTAAAACCAATGTAGTGTGAATGGCACAAGGTCTGTCACCAACTCAAAGCAAGAGCTGGTCCCTTCTGGACCACGGCTGAGGCAGCCTCTAAGTGCCTGGGCAGGGGGCAGACGAACACGGTGAAATGAATCCTGGGAAAGCTCTTTTGTTTTGTTTTTTAACTTTCTGTTGACTCTTTGTGATTTTCACATCATGCACCCCAATTCCACTCATCCCCCTCTCCTTGGACCTGCCCTTCACCCTTGCAATCTCTCCTCCAACAGAGAGAAAAAAAAATCTCATTGTGGGAGCTGTAGTGTGTCACATTGTGTCCCACAGCATACCACTTTGTTCATACTTCTTTGCTTGCAAATGTTCATTGCAGTGATTCATTGGTCTAGTTCAAGGCCTCTGTCTTCTGCTACTCTCTCAATAATGGAACCTCACTGGACTCCTCTCAGTTGTTGCCCTCTGTCACGGAGGTTCTGTAGTTTTGGATCTGTAGAATCAGCCCCTTCATGCACTCCAGCAGTTCATCAGTGGAGTAGGTGTTGGAGGGGGCCAATTCAAAGCCCTGGATCTGGGCTTGAGCGTTATCTGAGATGGTCAGCTCACCAGCAACTCCTGCAACCAGAGCCAGCTCTACCCTGATGCCCAGGTCAGGTGCAGGCCCCACCCTCCTGAGTGTTATAGCTGGTGAGGGACATGGAGAGCACTCCCACTCTCATAATTTCAGGGACAGCTCTCCCACCTGCCATAGATGGTGAGGGACAGGGAGGGAAGGTGCTCTTCCATGCCACCACCCAGCAGACAACAGATATGGGCCAGCTCTATTGTGCTATTCAGGTGAGGTACAGGGCCCGCTCTTCCTAGTGCTGCAGCAGGTGAGGGATAGGAACAGCTCTTCTGTTCTCATGGCACTATTGGGACCAACTTTCCTGTCCATTACTGGTAGCAAGGGCAAAACGCGGGGGAGGGATTCTCTCCCTCATTGCTGCCACTGCACAGCAGAGAAGAGGCAGGGTCAGCTCTCCTAAACTCATGCCCTCCTGCCTGGTTCACCTGTAATCCCTACATTCAGGGCCAGCCCTACTGTGATGCCCATTTGAGGTGCAGGGCTTTCTCTCCTGAGGGCTGCAGCTGGTGAGGAGCAGGGCCAGTTCTCCTGCTCTTATGAGCCCCGGGCCAGGTCTCCCACATGCTGAAGATGGTGAGGGGAGAGGTGGAGGGAATCTCTCCTAAAGTGGAAGTCTCTGGTTTCTTCGAAGACTCGGTTTTGTCATGTGATGTTTTGCTGCAAGCTGGGCATGTGAAGTTTTGCTGGAGGTTGGCTTGTGAGAGGCCACATGCTGTTTGGCTGTGAGCTCTCTCATGTGAGGGGCATGGCTTTGGCCAGCTGAGAGTATCAGTAGGTGGACTCTGAGGAGAGGAGATATATAAAGGGGCGCACAGCGAGGCATCACTTTTTGGATCGACATCACTGAGCTGATCTTTGTGCTTTGACATTTGACTCCAGAGAGAGAAACGTTCCAGGGAACTTCTTGGGGCAATCCAACTGAGTCTTGTGGCTTTCTCTGACTCGTCCTGATCTTCTGAATTGTGCTGATCGTGTTGCTGCTTGGTGTCGGCCTTTGGACGGGGCTGCTGGTGTCCTGACAACTGAATTTGGTAATCCCCTAAGGACCCATTGACCCTCATCAGCAGATATAAGAGATCTACAGCCCTTTCCCCAACTAATCGCCTATCTAAGGTGGTGGTGGGGGGGATGGTTGGAAAGGGGGTAAAGGTGTTTAAGGACACCAAATAAAGTATGTTTGGTGAAAATTCCTAAGCCTACACTCTCCCCAGTTCTTGCCACCATAAGCGAGACAAGTGGTAAGTCCAGCAATCCCAGGATGCCCAAGTGAGGGAGGGGGCCACTCTGCACAGCTCTCAGACATCAACGTGTCCCTGCCTGGCCTTTGGTGGTAACAGACCCCTGCTGCTGCTGGCCCCAGTGACAGCACTGGCCAGGGCCACCATGGTCCCAGGTGGCATCACCAGCTACTCACATCAGGCTGTTCCTCACTATCTTCGAGTCTCCAGTTCCCCCTCTCTTCATTGTGCACACATCCTTCTGCTTCTCTTTCTCTCCCATCTCTCCACCACCTACTTGCTCCTCTTAGTGGTGTTCAGGGTCTCTGAGCATCCGGGGTCATCTCAAGAGTGGTCTTAGGAGTGGTCTGTCCAGTGTGTGTATTATGGCACACGGTAGGGGTCATCTTGGGTGTGGTCTGTACCCCCGGGCCTGCATGGCACTGAACTGGTGGCCATTTCAGGCTACTTGCCTGTCCAGGCCCCATGGCGCTGGTCTGGTGGTTGTCCGAGGCTTGCTCCTTGCCCGGCCTCACCCAAGTGTTCCCTTGCAAGAGTTGTTTATCTCAGGCTCACTCCCACCTAGTGACCGCAGTCTCTAGTCTCCAGCCTGCTTCCCATCCTGGCAGCCCATCTGGTCCTGCCTGGTGCCAGACAGCTGGTGCCAGACAGAGTTGTTTATCTCGGGCTAGCTCCCTGTCTGTGCCCCTGGTGCTGGACTGGTGGTCATCTCAGGCAGGATTTTTTCAGGGAACGTTAGGCTACTAATCATTCGGATGTTCACAGGTGAGAACACTGGGCGTAGGCACAGCCTCTCTCCTCTCTGCCACCTACTGACGCACATATGACACACAGCCATACCCATGAGTTCTTTTACAGAGTCTTCCTGGACTCTCCCACAATGCCTGAGGTCTGACCAATTCTGGAGATGGCCTCAAGGCATTTTTTTTTTTGTCCGGTTATTCAGATACAGGGTTTTGGCTTCCTTGTTGTTGCTGGGTTTTGTTTGTTTTTGTTTTTCGAGGCAGGTTCTTTCTGTGTAGCCTTGGCTGGCTTTGTAGACCAGGTTGGCATTGAACTCAGAGATTCCCTGCCCATGCCTCCCAGGGCTGGCATTAAAGACATATGCCACTATGCCCAGCTATAGTTTCAATGATGTGAATCTCTTTAGTGATCCATTCCTCACGTAGAGCCAGCTTTAACCGCCCCTTTTCAGAGCAACCTGCAAGGTTTTCAAATCCTTCTTCTCCCAGTCAGTACCACCAATATGGCTAGAAGCAGCTGGCAATCACCCCGCTGTAGCCTGAATGTTGAAATGCCTTAAAATTTTCTCTGCCAGAGTAATTAGTTGACTGCTTTTAAGCTTAGCCTCACAAAATCTCAGGGCATAGATAAAACAAGAGATAGGTCCTTTGACATAGGAAATGTAAGTCAAGTGTGGTCTAGTTTCCCGTAGCATCCATGTTCCCACAGGAAACCTGATGGGCACTGGCTCTGTCCACATCTGTCTTAGTTAGGGTTTCTATTGCTATCATAACATACTGTGATCAAAAACAAATTGGGGAGCAAATTGTTTATTTACTCATAGTTCCATATGGCTGGGATTCAAGCAGGGCAGGAACCTAGAAGCAGAAGCTGATGCAGAGGCCATGGGGGTGCTGCTTACTGGCTTTCTCTTCATGGTTTGCTCAGTCTTGTTTTTTTATAGAACCCAGGATGATCAGCCCACCACCCACTATGGGCTGGACCTTCTCCTAACAACTGCCAAAATGCCCTACGGCCAGCTCTTATGGAGGCATTTCCTCAACTGAGAAACCTTCTAAATCACCCTAGCTTGTGTCAAGTTGATGTAAAACTAGCCAGCACAGTTGACCTCTTGTTAGCTTGATAGACAAACACATCTCTGTTAATCTGTTCTTTATTGTCCTTCCCTAAGATCATACATTAATATTAAATATTACAATATAAACATTCCGAAATTTAAAGGTCCCAGTCTTTGAAAATTTAAACATTTAAAAGTTTGGTCACTTTAAAAATTCAGTCTTTTAAAATTCAGAGACTGTTGTAGTGGTAGTTTTGGTTTCTTTAAAAACTCAGTTATGTTATGTAAACATGTTTTTGTTTTAATCTCAGGTGTAGGGGGCTGCTTTAGTTCTCCAGCTGTTGACTATGATTGTCTCATTCTCTATCAGGGGAGTGACCTTTGCCAGCTGCAGAGAGTTTAATTCTGAGGACTCTGAGAGGGTATAAATACCAGAACTTGGAGAGCGCTGGGGGGCCTTCAAGAAAGAAAAAGGAGGCTGCTGTTCCTGATCGCTGTTGATGCAGTTTGGTGAGAAGAAGTTGGAGATATCCTGAAATGAAGATTGGACTGGACCCCAAAGACCCAACAACCCTAACCAGCAGTAAGTAGTAAAGAGACACACTCTGCCCCTTTCCCTTATAACCTTCATTCTCTCCTACCTAGTGTTGGGGGGTTGGAAGGTATTAGGACAGAAAAGGGTTGGAAGGGAGGTAGTGGCATAAGAAACTCAAGAAAAATAGATATAAAAATATGCCCTACAGTTTGTCAACTGTGGGTTCCTGTCAAATCAAAAATAAATTAAATGCTTTTTCTTAATTGAAGAGAGAAGAACCAGGGTGCAGTCACAATACGAACAAAATAAAAACAAACCCCTAAAGTGCAAACATCTGGGATTCACTCAAGATCTTCTGGGCTCCATTTGGCTACACTGTCCTGCTCCTGCTGCTCTTGATGACCGTCTCATGGTACTCGTGTCTTCAAAAATGGTGGGGTTCTGTCTCAGGGTTTATGTTTCTGTGAGGAGACACCATGACCACAGAAACTCTTATAAAGGAAAATGTTTAACGGGGGCTGGCTTACAGTTTCAGAGGCTTAGTCCATTATTCTCATGGTGGGAAGCATGGCAGCCTGCGGGCAGACATGGTGCTGGAGAAGGAGCTGAGAGGTCTACATCTTGATCCACTGGCAGCAAAAGGAGACTGTGTGCTACATTGGGGATAGCTTGAGCACAGGAGACCTCCATACCCATCCCACAGCGTCCCACTTCCTCCAAGACCTCACCTACTCCAACAAGGCCACACCTCCTAAGAGTTCCACTCCCTGTGGGCCAAGCATCCAAGCACATGAGTCCATGGGGGCCATTTCTATTTCAACCACCACAGGTTCCTTGCTGCAACTGAGCCTGTACTTTCGCCAGTAGCCTCTCCTGGGCTCTCTTCAGAGCCCTGCCACACAGTGCCAAACCTCAGCTGCTCTTCATGACCCCTTCGTGTCTTCAAAACCAGTACCACCTAGGTGACTCTTACACTACCAAGTCCAGCTGCCAGCATAATGTACAACCTTAGCCACTGATGGAGCACAGCTCCTATGTGCTGAACCTCAGGAAACAACTGCAGAATATCTCACCCCATGATGCAGTCTCTTCTTAATCACAGCTGATCCTTCTTCCCCTACTGAGCAGAACCACAGGTTCTTCACACAAATAGCCCAAGAGAGTCTGCTACCCTCTGAAGTTCAGAAGCCAGGCATCCGCTGCCTGTACTGCTCTCAGCATTCTTACCTTCCAAGCTCATGAAGCTCTCAATACTCAAGGGCTTTTTTAGCCCAAAGTTCTAAAGTTCTTCCACAACCCTATCCCAAACAACATGGTCAGGTTTGTCACTGCAATACCCCACTCCTGGTACCAACTTGTCTTGGCTAGGGGCTTTATTGCTGCGATGAAGCACCATAACCAAAGCAGGAAAGGGAGGAAAGGGCCTTCTCCACTTACAGTTCCAGGCAACATCCCTATTGCATTCAAGTATCCTGAGGTTCAGCCTCGAAGCTTGACTTAGCTCTGCTCACAGCATTCCAGGGCATCACCAGCCCACATCTCCAAGTTTTTTTTTTTTTTTCAAATTCCTCCCACGAATCAGTTCTGAAGCCTTCTGGAACCACAAAGTCAAGAATTGTCATAGAGATGATCTCTCTTCTCAACACCAGTCTTCCTGAGTGACTTTTTGTAGTGGCAACAAAGTGACTGAGGTAAACAGCCCCGGGTCAGAATGCTGTATTTCAGCTTGCTGCTCCAGGGATTTCAACCTGTGATCAGCTAGCTTCATTGCTTTGAGAGCTATGGAGAAAAGAGCACGGTGAAGGAAAGCCTCATAACAGACAGAGGCAAGGAGGAAGAAAGGGGAAGGGGCCACATGGACGGGGATAGGTGTGGTGCAGGAAGCCGGAGAACGCAGAGAGGAGGCCTTCACGAGCCAAGCCGAAGTGAATCTCGGCCTCAAAGGCAACATCCACTATGACTGTCCATGAATGCGAGCCATCAGCTGTTTTCAGGCATACACACACCTTCCAGAGGCTACATTCCTCTGAAGTGAGAAAGTAGAGCACCCAGAGAGGAGGACAGGAACTCAGGAACGCAGACAGGACCTGGGGATAAAGCTGAAGCAACCCATTCTCTGATGGGGACATGGTTCCGGGGAATCATCCCAGGTGACAGCAGCTCTGAGGAAAGCAGCTTGGGGGTCTCTTAGACATTTCTCAGTATAGCTGGACTCTGGGGATTCTGCTGCATGGCTTTGGGGGCACTGAAGAGCCATGTGGAAATGCTTGGCCCCAGAAAAATGAATGTTCTTGCTTTTTAAGTAAGCAAGTGAAAGAGTGCAGAATGCTTGAGAGGGTGGGAAACAAGAATGAGAGAAATCAAGATCTCTGCAGCACACAGGGCTGGAGAGATGGCTCAGCTGTTAAGAGCAACGGCTGCTCTTCCAGAGGACTGGGGTTTGGTTCCCAGCATGCTCACGTGCTCCTGCACGCACATGCGCACACTCATATGCACACTCACTCACACAGAAGTGCAGGAGGTGTCCTCTCCCACCCTTCTTTGGCATCATTCGTGTACATGGTACACAGACATATATTCAGGCAAAAGCTTGTACACATGAAGTGAATTGTTAAGAAAAGATTTGTGTATGTGTATGTGTTTGTGTATGAGCATTCCACTTGTATGTAGGCCTGCATGACAGAAGAGAACAGCTGACAGAAAAGGGCATCAGATCCCACCATCTCTCCCAACCCTTACCATGCGGTTGCTGGGAGTTGAACTCAGGACCTCTCCTAAGTTCAACAGCCATGGTCCTAACCACTGAGCCATCTCTCTAGCCCCATAAATTACATTAAAAAAATTTCTGTTGTGTGGGGTCCCCCATGCTTAAGAACCCAAAACTTCGAAGGTTGAGACAGGAAGATCAGGAGTTCAAAGTCAATCTGGGCTCCATAGTGAGATTTTATCTCAAAAATACAAAGTGGGGGGAGGGCAGGGGTTGGAGTGGACAGAGGGTAGGAAGATGTGTGTATATAAACATAACTAAAGGTCGGCGCTGCCTCTGAGACAAACCGGGGAGAGGTAAGAGGGCCATTGGAGGATGGCTGTCTTTTCGTCATTTGAAGCCTTCTTAGTACCACAGAATTCAGAAACATGTTCGGAAGTAATGCTTGAAGAACACAGGAACAAATTAGAAATGAAAAATAATTGCATTACCGACAAAAAGGAGGCCCAGGGGAGGGAGCATGCCTCAGAACAGGCGATGTCAACACGCTGGAAATAAAAAGGAAGGGGAGGTGTGGAGAGCAGCCTGGGCAAAGGGTTTAGGCTGCAGTGAGGCTATGGGAGAACAAGGGGAGGGGTAAAGCGGAAGTAGGGGTCAGTAGGGGCAGGTTACCCCTAAGCACTACGGCAGGGACTTATTCAGTGAGTGACAGGTGGCCCTAAGAGAGCCTCAGGAAGTCTGCCTATGACTCAGCATTTTAATAGATTCTAATAGAGCCACTGACCCTCCTGAGCACGCTGGTTTCACTCTGCTGTCCAAGGGTCTTTGGCAAGGCCAAGAAGAAATTGGACACAGAGCCAATTAAGGGGAGAACGACACACGAGCCGTATTAACCTGATTGGTATAGGAGAGTTCCCCAGGCCACTTTCCCCATTAGCAACAAAGTTCAAGGGCTCCCAGGCTGCCTAGGGAGCCTGGCAGCTATCCCATGGGAAGATGAGGGTTAAATAGAAGGTGTGTGCGCTACAAACCCTCTCCAGCCTGGCCTGGTAGCCAGGCAGGTTACCATCCTCCTGTCTCTGGGGGAGGAGAGTGGGGGAGCGCCTCTCATGGCCTTCAGCCCTGCTTTCAAAGGGAGAAGGGAAGGTCAGGGTGTCCTTTTTGATTTTCAAGCACCTTTTGTTAAAAAGAAAGTCAATGTGACAAAGCAGGGGGGTGGCGGTGGCGTTCTTAAAATCCCATGAAGGCTGGTGGAGAGGACATTGTAGATTCAGCCAGGAGAGAGTGGCGGGGAGATACCCCACAAGCCTCTTCTCTGTCTCTTGTCAACCATGCTCAGGTGCCCTGCAGCCAGGTGGTGAGGTGGTCTCTGCTGTGGAACACTGAAATCCCAAGAGGGATTTCACAAGTCACAGAGCTGGGACAGAGCCAAGATGAAACCCCTCTGTCTAAGGTCATGATCCTCAGGAACCTCACAAGCGGGAGCTTAAAGAAGGTAGAAGTCGATGGATCCCAGGAACTGCTGCAGTGTGTGTGTGTGTGTGTGTGTGTACTGGCTCATTCTGTCATCTGCATAACCCTAAGAATGGGCACTGACAATGGGCCTTAGAGATGACCAGACACATATTTGAGGTCACACAGCCAGTACATAGCGGAGCTGAGACTCAACCCCAGAAGGAGCCAGCAGGGGGTGACAGACCCAAAGACACCCCTCGATGGGGACACTAGTGAGAACGTTGGGCTAGGAAGGCATCTCATGTTTTAGAAGACAGAACTGCTTCAGTATCTAGGTCTCTCCCTGGCTCCATGGTCAACTCCTGACTTCCGGTTGAGGAGGAGCCTGGCTCCCAGCTCCTGAAAAACCGCTTGTCTGATGGTAGAGGCTTGATTGCTGGCCACGGGAACCCGCTGCCGTGAGGGTGGAGACATTACCATGGTTTTGTCCGGGCTGAGATCACATGGGGGTGCCGGGTAGATGATGTGAACCCAGCAGATCTGACAGCCCTAGGGACCACATCCAGCCTGGGGTCAGAGGTTTGGGACCAGGTGTAAGCTTACACTTCTCCCTCCTGGCCGTGTCTCAGCAGAGAAAGGGCTCAATAGGAGCCCCAGCTCTCTCTCGCTGGCAGAAGCCTCCTAGAGAAGGGCTGACCCCAATCTGCTACATAGGAGACCCCTCCCCCCTCTCTAGTTTCCTGTATACCCCCAGGAAACATGTCCTTGTTTGTCCCTCTGCTATTTTCCATCCATCCATCCATCCATCCACCCACCCATCCAAACTCTGAGTTCATCCACCTCTCATCCATGCATGTATTCATGTATCTATCCATGTGGGCATGTAGGCATCTCTCCATGCATGCATGCACCCATGCATGCACCCATGCATGCATGCACACACCGGCCCACCCATCCATGCATGCACCCTTGTATTAATACACCCATGTATTAATACACCCATCATCTATCCATTCATGCATCCATTCATCCATGTGTCCACCTTCCATCCTCTTTCATTAGAAATTGGATGAATGCCTACTGTGTGCCAGGCTAGCGCCAGCGCAGGACAACTTTAGGGCTCTGTATAGCGCTTGTTCTTGGGGACATTCATGCCCCATCCTCAGATGAGTCGCCATGAAGTACTTCGTGGCTCTGAAGACAGACTTTGGATATCTAGGGGTGAGACTCCCTGTCCTGGGCAAGAACTGTCAACCAGATGACCATTTGCCCCCAACATGTCCAGGTAAAGCCTGTGCAAAGACCCCGAGGGAGGCTCCTGACCTTGCCATGGATCTGACTCAGCGCAGCAGTGAAAGAACTGTGGAAATCAAGGCACAGACCCTCTGTTCTCTTCTCAGAAGCTCCCCACCCATCCAGATTGAGAGGAGCAGACCACAAGCTGACCATAAGCCCCCCAAGGTTTAGCTGGGACTGTCCCACCTAGATCCTCGCTTGGTGAGAAGCCGGCTCCTCAGACGCCGTCATGGGCACCCCATCTCTGTACCCGTTTCCTTTTACTTCCAGCCAAGGTAGGACTCTGTCTTTAGTGATGTGGTGTGGATTGTCTGCCTAGGCCAATCTCATCCCTAAAGTCTCCATCGATGCTGGAGGAAACAGTGTCTGAGGATGAATGGATAAATGAATGGATGAACGACATTGATGAGCTCAGAGTTTGGGGAGCCAAAGGGAAGTCATAGGCAGGAGGTAAGAGGGATAGTGGGCTGCAGCTGACTGTCCTGGGAAGAGCCATGGAAGGCCGTAAACAGAGAATGACAACACCGAGGAGCCCCGCCGTGGAGCATGAGGACACGCTTAGGGCCGCTCAGAACTCATGTCCACTTTAGACTAGCAGTGGCCATAGATGACCACAGTTTACTACTTGGTCTGTCCAGTGAAGAAAGAATGGCTTACATAGGTAGGCTGGTGCTGGGACCGCCACCTTTAGGCTCCAACAAAGGAAAATATCGCCCCTCCCCCAGGGAGTTCATTAGTTGATGTGCTATGGACAATTGTCTTCCGGTGCAGTTGTTATAATTCACATGGTATCAGTTAAAAGAATCGGGAATTGTTTTCTCACTGTGTATCTTTGACTTTTGCCTCTTGGGTCTCAAAGCCTAAAATATCTACTTTCTATCTCATTGCTCTGCCCCTCTGTCCAGCTCCATCTGACCCCAGGATCACATTCCCTATCTGCCTTCTCCTGGACCTGCCCCGCTGCTCTTGGGATCCTCGACAAGAGATATATGGGCTCGGAGCCCACATCTCGGTGTCCATCCTACCCTCTCCTTCCTCATCTCACTGCTCAGCCCCCTCCCCATAGTCATGCATGCCTCAGGATCTGGGGCTGTCCTGCCTCTCTGGCAGCCCCCCCCCCCCCCGCCGCGCCTCCCCCCCTCCCTCTTTTTTTTTTTTCAAGTCCCTGCAGGAGCCAAGGCCAGCGTGGGTGGCTGAAATCTCCCCGGTAACGGGATCTGCCTCTCCCTCTCCCGGCCTCCGCCCTTAACCTGCTGCCCCTCAGTCTGGCACCTGCTGCCCAGCTCTCAGTCCCTCCTCCTGGTCCCTCCCGCGCCCTCCTGCTCCCCCCTCTGCTGGCTCTCCATGTCACCATCTGTGGCACAATCCTTCTCTGTCACTGTCCCTACCACCCCCTCTTTCTCCTTCCTCCTGCCTCCCTCTGTCCCTGCCTTTTTCTGCATCTCTCACAGCTCCTCCGTCCGTCCATCCATTCTCTCCTCTCCTCTTTCCTCCTCCGTCCCTTCTCCTTGCCAGCATCTCTCCTTACTCCCCCTCATTCTGCCTTTCCACCCACACACTGTCTCCTATCCCTCCCTTCTCTCTCTCCACCTCCGACCCACCCCCCCTTTCCTTATTTTCTCTTGGCTTCCTATGTCCCCTGCTATCTCACATTCCTGTCACCTTGGGAAGTACCTCCTGCCACCCCCAACTGGGTGCCATCTGAGGACCCCCATCCTGTGTCCTACACCCTCCACGTGTCCTGGAGATGGGGGGTGACGTACCAGGTGAAGGTGGAAAGTCAGGGCCGAGGACCAGATGGGAGAGGCAATGTGAGCTGACGTGGCCGCTAAGGGCCTAGGAAGGGCCCAAGCCCATGAATGCCGGAGGAGTGGGCACCATGTGAGACCCAGCTGGCTGTGCTCTAATGGTACCTGGCTGCGGAATGTTACCCAGCCTGTGGACTACAAAGGGAGCTCTTGCTCTGTGGGCAGGTAAGGAGGCTCATGGGGCTCTCGGAGGGTGGGATACCTGGGCCCTTTCTCTAACCAGGTTGAACTTAGGGCTGAGTCTAGGGCTGGCAGAGGATGAAGGGTTCCAGAAAGCAGTGAGGCTTTTGGTGATTTCTGTGTGGGCTGTAAGATAGGAAGGGCTATTAATCCCAGCATCTTGTGCCGTCATTCCAGAATCTTGGAGCCTCCGTAGAGCAGAATGTCAGAACTGAACCAAACCAGATGCAAGCTGCTGTCTGGCCTCCTGGGCCTGTGTGGCTTCGCTCCTGAGCTCCCCTTCGTGCTGGAGTGGTGCATCTGACAAGCCTCTTCCACCTTTGCATCAAAGGAGGTGGGAATGAGTGGTCTCCATTGTAATAGGAAGAGCCTGGAACTGGAGGGGAGTGACTTGTCCAAGGTCACACAGCAGTTTGGCATCAGCGGAACCCAATCCCCAAGCTTTGGGCTTCAGGGGGTGCTCCTGGGGGTCAAGCCTCGGGCCTAGAACTCTCGTCAGTCGCAGGTGACAAACAAAACCTCAGCCTCTTTGGGGGAAGGTCCAGGTGTACAGAGGACAGCAGTGGGCCCTCAGCCCACATTGTCCCTTAGCTGTCCTGACATTTTAAGGAAGCCAGCGTGGATTTGGATCTGATTTCTCACTCACCAGCTGGGTGACCTTGAGAAAGTGACTTAACCTCTCTAAACTTCAAATTCCTCCCTCACCTGACCCTCCTCCCCTTTCTGGGCTCTGCTAGGGTCTCAGGATGTGAGTCTGAGGTCTCAGCCCAGGAGCATTCTTGCACCTTTGTGTTCTACCTGCTAATGCGCGCACGCCTGTTTCTGTTAGTTCTGGGTGGTAGGCTAAGTGCTGAGGGAAAGCGCTTTGGAGGGGGTTAGGAGCTGAGTGAGAGTGAAATAAGAGCAACTGGGGTGTCTGGCTCACCTGAGGGGCTATCCTTCCGTTGCTGTGAGGCTTGGGAGCACTCACTCACCCTCTCTGTGAGCCTCTTCCCTGAGGAGATTCCACCCCCAGTTTTCAGGCCAGATTGTGCCAAAGATAAACCAGACAGAGAGGCAAAGTCCCTCCCTCCCTCCTCCTTCCCTCCCTTCCAAGGAGGAATTAGATCAGGCATAGGAGCCCAGATCCTTAAAGAAAGGACGGCATTGAAATTGCAGGTCTGTCTTCCCCGGGTGAAAAGCTATGATTTCTGTGTTCTGCCACCTGCCTGGCCTGTCAACTTTGACAGCAAAGGAGGGTGTCTTGGAGTGGGGCCAGGGTACCACGGAGGGATGCGCCACCTCCGAGTCTGAGGAGGGTCTGGCTGGGTAGCTGTGCCCCTGTGTGCGTGCGTGTGCGCGTGCGCTTCAGCAGGCTCATGAATGTGCCTGTGTGGGCTTGGAGGAACCATCCTTGAAGCACACTCTGGGCTTCCCCGAGGGCATCTGTGCCTGAAGCCTGGAAATGAGGTTTGCCTGGCTCTCGCCTCTTTGCTGTCCCAGGCGCTCTCCTGTCTCCTGCAGTCCTGAGTGCCTTTGATTGGCCACCCTGTGGGAGAGCTATAAAGAGGCACTGCACAGAACAAGTGGGCAGGGTGACCGGGTGGTGTAGGGGGCCCCACTCTGGGAACAGAACTGTAAGGTCCTAGATCCCACGGCTCCTCGCCTAGGCTGGTTCGACTCTAGCTGTCTGCAGTTGTGGCATTCTTTGACTCAAAGTCACTCGGCCTGAAAACCTGACTCTGAGATCCATGGCTGTGTTCCAAGAATTTAAATTCTCATCTCTAGGCTCCTGTGGGTCTGAGGCTTTGGGCCCATGGTCCAGAGTGCAAGAGCACAAACATCAGCCAGACAAGCTCTGCCTAGGCCAGCAGGATAGTGAGTCCAGCACAGTACTGAGGCAGGGGCCTGCCCTGGCCTGGCCTCAGTTTGCCAGCCTGTAAAACAGGATGATAGGTGACAGGTCCTCCTCCACATACTCCTTCCTGGCTGTGGCCCACATATTTGGGACTCCCTGTAGCTCCTGGCCAGTTGGAAGGACAGAAGGAATGCCTTGTACTCTGCGAATAGGGCTCTTGTCAGCTCTGAGACATCAGCTTTTCCTGAAGTCTTCTGGGTTCAGGGTTCAACAAGGAGCAGCCAGCTGTGTGAGGACACTACAGGACCCACAGCCCACAGCCCAGATTTGCCAGACCCAGCTCAAGAGAGCTGAGAGTGCCTGCGGCAGGTTGAGGACCACTTGGGGGCTCCCTGAGTCAGGATCTTGGAGGCTGCTAGGAGCCTAGCCAATCTGGAACGTAGCAGGGAAGAGCCTTGGCACTCTGCCAGGGGTGCTTTGCTAGCTTTGGCATCGCCAGCCTGGCGCTCAGAGCTGTCGCATATGCTCCCTCCTCGGGAGCATGCTGGGAGCTAGGTGCTTCCCCTTCCCAGGAGCCTCCCTCATTCAGACTCTCATCAGGAGAGCCCAAAACACTCCCACTTTCTGGTGGAGGGGTCCAGACCCAGAGTGGGTCAACACAGAATTGAGGACAGCTTCTGAGCCTGCAGGCTTCGCCTTCAGCCCACTCTGCTGGGTGGACTTAGAAGCACTTAGGATCCAGGATCCAAGGGAACTGGTGGGGCGAGCAGAGAGGTTCATTGGGTGGAAAGGGGGTCAGGCCAGCGGGAGGAGCTGCTCTTGGCCTTGTACCTGGGTGTTCTAGGAGCAGCAACCTACTAAGAAGGAGGAGGAAGAGGAGGAGGAGGAGGAAGCCAGGGGAATTCCATTCCCCCCACCCCCGGTTCCCACTGCGCAGCCCACTCCTCCACAAGACTGCCCACTCTGGGCTCCTCTGACTCATTTGATGCCTCCCTCACTGGTGCAGGATGGGATCCAGGGAAGGGAGAGGTAGGGGACCGTGGAAATGGTCCCAGGGTTGGCTGAATCTCGGCGATGCAGGAGATTTGAGTCCAGCAGGGGAGCCCAGCAGAATCCCGAGGTTCAGGCACACAGAGTCCGGATAAAAGAACCTCACCAAGTGCCAGGGAATGTCCGCTCCCGCTGGATCCTCCTGCTCAACCCAGTACTCAGCCGCAGGGTCCTCGGCTCAGCCCTGCAGCTGGGGGAGGTAGTTTCCGGGGGGCCTGCAAATTTCTCATCCATAGGCTTGTCTGGGAGGAGAAGAGATCCTGCCACACACCCTCACATTCACAGTCATCCTTCCAGAGTGGGGCTGTAGGTCAGGGACCCCAGTGTGATGGCCCAGAGGTGCTGAGATCTCTGACTCCCAGGAGAGGAGGTGCCATCAGCTTGCTGCCATTCTGTTTGGAATTAGAAATCCGAGGGAAGTTCTGGCCTCTGCTAGAAAAGATACAGCCATATCAACTTTCACCTGGAGTTGGGGGTGGGAGGCAGGACTTGGGGGTCTCATCTGAGAAGTCAGCATAAGCACCCGTCACCTTACCGGGCTGTGCAGAGAACACAAGCTGCTCATCGGGTCCTGAGCTGGCACATAGTAGGTCTCCAAGTTTAAGGTGGTGGTGAAGAGGCACAAAAGAAGCTGTTCTCTGCCACAACTAAGCCGTGTTCTCCTTCCTGTAGGCTAGGACTAGGCGGTGACTGACCGGCTCCTCCTCAGCCATGGCCACTGCTGCCTATCCTTCATCGGTGCCCACAACCTCGGACCCTGGGAACACATCCTCATCCTGGCCCCTGGAGACCACCCCGGGGAATGTATCTGCTGGCGCCAGCCTGGCCGGCCTGGCCGTGAGTGGCATCTTGATCTCCCTGGTGTACCTGGTGGTGTGTGTGGTGGGCCTGCTGGGCAACTCACTGGTCATCTACGTGGTCCTGCGGCACACGGCCAGCCCATCCGTGACCAGCGTCTACATCCTCAACCTGGCGCTGGCCGACGAGCTCTTCATGCTGGGGCTCCCCTTCCTGGCTGCCCAGAACGCCCTGTCCTACTGGCCCTTCGGCTCTCTCATGTGCCGTCTGGTCATGGCCGTCGATGGCATCAATCAGTTCACAAGCATCTTCTGCCTCACCGTCATGAGCGTGGACCGCTACCTGGCGGTGGTGCACCCGACACGCTCGGCCCGGTGGCGCACGGCGCCCGTGGCTCGCGTGGTCAGTGCGGCCGTCTGGGTGGCCTCGGCCGTGGTGGTGCTGCCGGTGGTTGTCTTCTCGGGGGTGCCGCGGGGCATGAGCACGTGCCACATGCAGTGGCCAGAGCCGGCGGCCGCCTGGCGAACGGCTTTCATCATCTACACGGCCGCCCTGGGCTTTTTCGGACCCCTGCTGGTCATCTGCCTGTGCTACCTGCTCATCGTGGTGAAGGTGCGCTCGGCCACGCGGCGGGTGCGGGCGCCCTCGTGCCAGTGGGTGCAGGCCCCCGCGTGCCAGCGGCGGCGGCGTTCTGAGCGCAGGGTCACGCGCATGGTGGTGGCTGTGGTGGCGCTCTTTGTCCTCTGCTGGATGCCCTTCTACTTGCTCAACATCGTGAACGTGGTGTGCCCGCTGCCGGAAGAGCCCGCCTTCTTTGGCCTCTACTTCCTGGTGGTGGCCTTGCCCTACGCCAACAGCTGCGCCAATCCCATCCTCTACGGCTTCCTCTCCTACCGCTTCAAGCAGGGCTTCCGCAGGATCCTGCTGAGACCTTCACGTCGCGTGAGGAGCCAGGAGCCCGGGTCTGGCCCTCCGGAGAAGACTGAGGAGGAGGAGGACGAAGAGGAGGAAGAGAGAAGGGAAGAGGAGGAGCGGAGGCTGCAGAGGGGAAAGGAGATGAACGGAAGGGTCCGCCAGATCTCACAGCCTGGCACCAGCGGACAGCCTCAGCTACCGCCCAGCACAGGGACTGCCAAGGAGCAGCAGTTTCTACCCCAGGAGGCCACAGCTGGGGACAAGGCCAGCACCCTGAGCCATCTGTAAGGACCTTTAAAGAGTCAGCATGGCCCAGAGAAGGGCAGAGGCTGTGCTTGACCTAGGGACACGAGGACCACTCACATGCAGCGGTCCCAGCAAGCAGCAGCTAGAGTGACTTCGTTTATACAGCTGTTCTGGCCCTCTCTGGGCCGCTGAGGTACTAGGTTCCAATGTTGGGATGGGCTCTGTCCCGTTGGGCTAGGACTTGCTGTGTGACCTTTGTCAGGTCATTTCCCCTTTTGACTCAGGGATGGGTATAATGAGCCTGGATGGGCCCCACAAGAAGAGGGATCTGAAGGTGTTGTTACTGGGGTGAATCTCCTGAGTAGGGCCCAAGGGAAGGGGCTTTAGGCAGTCTGACCAAGAAACAAGATTTCATTGGCGGGGGGGGGGGGGGGGAGAGGTCAGTTTGTATCTTGGCCCCCATGGAGATACGCCAGGGTTTG